AGCTTTACTTAACGAAGACTAGCAATGAGAAAAATCATGTGATGACATTTTAAATCTTTCCGCACCCGAGTATTATCGAGCACGTACTATTAGTGCGAGTGCTATTCTAACGCATCTGACACCAGCATTGTTCATCGGCGTACTATATTGTATCAGCGATTATAATGTCTCTATTACAATCAGCATTACAAAAGTGGTAACGAGTGTTCGTTGACATCACAAAAATTACACATCCTAGGAATTTCAGCTGTTTCTTCCTGATTCTAAACATGTGTTATTTCTTGAGCCTTTGAGACTTCCTCGTTTCTTACTCGCTCTGTCCGTGTAATTTTCAGTATCCGTCTGTGGAATCACATTTCTGTTAGTTCCAGTTTTCCCCTCATCAGTGGGGACATTACCCAGCATTCATTGCCATATAAGAGAATAGATATTACATAGAAATCCAGATCTCTTTTCTTTGTTTCGAATGATTTTTTTCTAATTCTCCGCACTTTGTTTAAATTTTAGAATGTCTCTTTTGTTAGTCAATTGCTGGGATTTCAAAAATATAATCAAGATTAATAATGGGTAATAATAGTGAGGTACAAAGAATCCTTACTAATTTGAACAAGATAAGGAATTGCATCCTAAGGCTGACAACAACATACTATATATAAAAAGAAGAGGAAGAAGCAGACTTTACAAAAGAAATTTGTATTTACTCAACCACACACGAGGTCAGGTTTTGAAACGAGGTCGGTTTAATGTGGGGAGCCCGAGCGCATACACCCGGGCTAGGAACAAAAATTGCCCGTAGCCCCCGCAACCGTCCGTTGCGCTGGCCTCAGTGCGAGAACCGGTCCCTCACTCTGGTGCAATGAGGGGGCACGGCTTCGGGCAGTTGTTCCTCAGGGCTGGGCACCTCTCAGTATAATTTTCCTCAGTTGCGACTCTGTCCTTTGAAGAAGTCGCCCCTGACTGCACTCTGTTCAAAGATAGAGATGTAGCTGAGAGATGATAAATGGGGTGTTACAAACTAATCGAGAAGAGTTAATTTACTACGACAGAAAATATCCGAATGTGGTTTGCAAAATACGTACAACAGAGCAGTAAAAGCAAAGTAAATTACTCGCTAGAGAGTGCGACATGTAATAAAAGACAAAAAACTTGGGTGAAACAAGGAATACACACACACATAAAAAAAAGTAGGGTAAAAGAAAATTGCCCAAGCGGATTCGTCACAAAAATATAACAAAAATAAATTGTAAGTTGTGGCCTGTTTAGGGGCCAGAGTGAAAGACACGGAAGACGAAGGTACGTTGAAAAAGTATATTGAAGATATATCCAATAGTATTAGTAATAAGTAGATTAGCACTGCGTCTACTACTCCACTCCACTTCACACACTGCGCTCTCGTCCGACTCTCGCAGTTTGTATTTATGAGAGAAGGAAGAGTTCATTATACTGTAAGAGCGTTTACCACAACATTGTAAGAGAGGAAGATTCAAGGGAATCGTTATACCCAGAAAATAAAATTCAATCTCCTTGCAGCGTACAACGAATTCATCAGGATCAATTCTAGCAGAAAAAAAAAAAAACATTTGTCATCTTTGGGACGAAAATCAATGTGAGTCTGTAAAACACGTCTCAATGAAATGCTGATAGCTGGCTCAAGATAATAAAAAAAGTCACGATTGAATAGGAAGAGTCATGCAATTTACAACTGTGTAAACAACTGAGGTTCGAACATGTCAACTATAATTATCAGCATAAAGAAGCGGCTGTTCTAGAAAAAAAAAAAGAAAATATTCTCGAACATTGAGATCTTGACCAACCTCTCAAACGGATCAGATCTGATAGTTGTGTGGATCTATCATATCTTAGAAACAGTTATATCAGCAGACCATTGGATAAAGACAAAAGAATAGCATATATCAGGAACCGGAGTGGAAATCGAGTAAAATGAACAATATGTCGTACCCAAAAAGGAGTAGGAACACTTGAAACTGAACTAAAAATTCTAGATTCTAAATTCGTGAAAGACTTAGAAAATTTCTAACTATTTACATTATTCAAACTATCGTCCACATCTTTGTTGCCATATTTATCACAATGTTTCGGCCGTTGTACGCTCCGGTCTTCTTCAGTTGTTTGGATTGTCGAACTGAACTCTTTATTTCGCTGCTGGGGTAGACTGTTCTAGTTCCTCGTGCCATGTCTAATGGATGTCAGTTATCTCCTGTTAATTCCCTTCTCCAAATTATCCACTGCCTTAACCGTGTATAGAACTCACACACTTTGGTTCCTGTCACAGGATCTAACTAACGCCTTTATCCACTGTGCCATGCGTCCGTAATAAATATGGCAACAAAGATGAGGACGATAGTCCGAGCAATATAAATAGTGAACATAATACCTCATCTCAGAAATATAGACAGATACTGAAACTTTCTAATTCACAACATTCCTGAGGTTTTCTAGCATTCTGAGAAAAGTGCTAGAAAAATAACATAACTTTCTGTCATTCAGTCTCTAGTAATAACCATTTATAGATCTGAAAAATGTAAATGCAGGAACAATAAAAACAAAAGCAAGAATGATATATGCAACATTTTAGAGATTGCAACAGAAACAATATTTTAGTGATACCAACAACAACATACAAACAAATAGATATACCTATAATAAGAATTGCAACATTTTAAAGATACCAACATTAACAATAGCAACAATCTTTTATAGATCATAACAACAACAATATTATCTATAACATTTGAAACATAACAATATTTACAAAGAGAACATATTAGACAAAAATGATAATAATGCAACATTTTAGAGATACCAATAACAACAACAATTTTTAGAGATGTCAATAACAACGATAGTGATAACGGCAACATTTTATAGATAGCAAGATCAAAAGCAATAATATTTTATTGATGCTAACAACAACCATTATTATATTTATAAACATTTTAAAGATATCCGTATTAACAACATTTTAAGGATGGCAGCAATAATGATAATGGTAATTTCAACATTTTAAATATAGCAATATTAGCAACAATAACATTCTAGAAATAGCAACAAGAATAATTGTAACTGCAACAATTCAAAGATAGTAACATAAACAACAACTGAAAAATTTTACAGATAGTAACTTTATAAACAGCATTTTAAAGACTTCAATAACAACAAGAACAACAACTTCAATATTATTTCTTAGGATAATGTTAATAGCAAAAATACTTGTAAAATCTGTCATTGAAATACTGAACTCTATCAATATTGGAGTAAGAACACGGGGACTGTTATTTTATCTTTGTAGTCTAGTCCTGGGTATAACGATAAACTGCATCCGGCAGAAAGGCCTGTGATTCGGGAAATGCCTCTGATCGGGTTTTGATGAGGGCAAAACCACCTCTTAATCGAGGTGCTAGCACTTGTTACGTTCTCAGCTATGGGCAAATAGTGAACCCTATAAAACAAAACCCTATGAAAGTATAACAATACATTTCTGTAGTAAAAATATCAGGAATACGTTTATATAAAAAATTACCAAAAATACCTATTTATAGTATAATTACCAAGAATACATCAATCAATATATCCTACAATTTCCTAAATCAAACTGTATCCCAAAATATAACTTCAATAAAACCACAACATAAAACACGCATATCACTGCCTCTAGGAATTATATTCACACACATCTATATGTACAAAAGTTGAGTATCAGCTATCACGTATTAATGGTGAAAGCAGAATAACACATCTCATATTTTTATTATTTTAAAGTTCCCAAGAAACTTAAATTTCGGTATTGAATGACCCATAAGGTGTTGATATTATTATTATTATTATTATTTTTATTATTATTGTGCTGTACCCCTTCAGGTTGTAGACGATCATAGCCATTCACATCTTTTTGTCCCTAATAAGTTTTGTCTTTTTGTTATTTCCCCCAACCCCTGTTCTGCCATCCATTTAAACAAGATCATCAAGTATGTTACGAGCTGTTTTCCTCTCTCTCTCAATCTGTCCCGTGATTATCAGATTTTCAAAACCCTCCTTCATTACCCACCCCAGAAATTTCTACCACCTCATCCTGATGTTAAGCGTTATAAGTTTCCTTTTTGTTTCCATTTTCTCTAAAATCTCGTCGTTGATCATATGTTCTGTAAATGGTATCCACTGCATCTTTCTGTAGAACCACATTTCTGTCGCTTGAAGTCTGTTCCTCATCTTTGAGGATATTGCCAACATTCATTGGCATATACGAGGACAGTTAATACGTAATGATTCGCGGGTATCCCCAGTTTGCGTTCGCAATATCCTATTCAGTTTTGGTTTTTCGATTCGCTTATGATATTGTCATTTTGTATGGAAACATTTTGAAAGTGATAATGAGTGTCTTGTTGTCAATAAATACTTCTGTCTTAATCCAGCTCTTACATGCGACCAGACTAAGTAAAATAAACCGACTGTTATCGGGTATTAACCTGTTTTATCCCAGGCAATGGAAGAATATCTTGCCAGCATATAAATTGAACACGAAGTGATAAGTGCTTAGCTGTGTAGTTAATGTTTTGTCACGCGTAGGGCATTTGCTATTCTTTAAAGCCATTTCAACAGGAGAGAATCTCTCTGATCGTCGATGCCAAGATCTCTTACACAAAGCGAACACGGATATAACCTTATGTCAAATTTCCTCTCGCACAAAGAGCTAATTAAAAGCATTATGCCGATATGGATTATTTCCTTTTAAACGCATTGCACTTTCTTATTTAAAATTTATAGTGACAATTAGTTAAGAAGGTTTCGCTCATTGGCAAAGAAATGTCACAGAGACAAAAAAAAAATAATCTAAAGATCTGCTCCGAGTGACATTTTCGTTGGGTTGTTAGAAATCCACTTAGATTAATTAATTGATTGATTTATTTTTTTAACGGCTTATCAACCCTTTATGGTTTATTTAAAACCGGAATATATTCCGCATTGTAGGAGAATGCTTACATTACCGTTGTTCGCAAGCGGTCCCTCATTTAAGTACTGTCCAAGGCACGACAGGGCTTAACTTCGGTTATCGAACGGGAACAGGTATTTTCAGTTTGATTTGATCTCAAGCCCACTCATATTAAACGAAATTCAGATTTTAATATGAATTTTTTTAAAAAAATCATAAAAAATCATTTTATGTATTTTTTTTGTGAATGGGACAGATTTTAAGTTTTGTTAATTAGGTCTATAAGCATTTACTTGCTTATTTGATAAAATTGGTCTTTTATAATTTAGTCTATTGGTTAATATTAGTCGTTTATACTTGTTTCGAGGATAGGAAAATATTAGTCAGTTATATTTGAGTTTTTAGCCATTATCTTGTTAAGTAGACCCTTTTGTTCGTTCTTAACCAACATGGAATGAGAATTTATTTAGCACCTATTATTATTTGCAAAACTTCTTCCTTGTACACTGCTGCCAACCCAAAGCTGCCAATTCTTCAGCCTTTGAAGCTGTATTCCATGAAGAAAGAAAATGTAACTTCTGTTATCAAAGAACTCTGTGAATTAGGTTGTGTTTTTTTTTCTTTCCCAAAATACACCTAACAAAGGTTGGAAACTGCTATAAAAAATAATTTTGTGAGAAAATACAACACTCTACCCCTTACTTACTCTATCTAGGAGCAAAAACATTATCAACCAGTGACGCGTTTGGATTGACTTTTTTGACAAGTCTTGTTTCTGAGCCTGATTATTGTTGCCCGGTATCTGGTTTAGGATTGTAAATAATAAAAAAAATAGAAATTCTCTGGAAAAAGAAGGATCAAGAAGAAAACCTTTGAATTATTTTCCACCAATCATATGTACAGAATTTTCACCCCGCGATGATTTGAAAAGAGTCTCCCGACGACAATATAATTACGATTAAAAAAATGTTATTTATCCTCAATACGTCAGTGTACATAGTCAGTGCATATGGATCCAAGTAGATCAATTAATATTTTCAGCGATAAGGGAAGAGGTCATTAGACTCCGAGATACAACTTGACCAACCAACGACTCCAGGAAATATATGAAAGTTAATGTAGACCATTTCTGACATGCGAAAAAACAAAACAAAAAAACATCACGTCGCATTTCAGCATTCTTTTCTTTGTTACCAACGAAACCCTCCGTTTATTGCTGCTTTTGAATGCATCTTTGGTCATTTTACGTCCTTCGGATCTCTGTCAGGTGAGAACACTTCCCAGATATTTAAATTTACGCACTTGATTGATTTTTCTACCCCGACCTGTAAATCGCATTTATGTCATTTTTTTTTTTTTACTGATAACCATGCATTCTGTCTTCTTGTAGTTTATGATCTGTTCCTTCTTTTCGCTCTCCTTCGCTCCATTCTGTAGGAAGTTTTGTCATTTCTTTTCCCTGTCTGCTATCAACAATTTTGACAAAGTTGTAACAGATTTAACAAATTCACTGCAACCATTTTCACATTCAACTACAGACTGTTCCGTTACTATGTTGACCTGTCCACTCCGGATAGTTTAGAACATTAACAATACCTTGCGAACTTTCACTTTTTTCCTATCAAAATTTTTAAACTTATTGCTAATGTAAGCTCATTTTTCGATGAGCAAGCCTGTATACACTTCTTTTCTAAACAAACCATAGTTTTCAAATTCACATTGAGTCAGGAGTCTTTTTTATTTCTTCTGAGTTAACGAACTGATATTTTTTCATGGTAGAAAGTATAGTATAATAATATATCGATCGAGGCGTTGTGTTGGTAGCGGCAGGTATGTGAGAAAGTTGATTTATTAGAAAATTATTAGGTAACAGACTAATTGTTAAATAGATTCTTTCCTCCATAGTACAATCAAAAAAGAAAAAAAATGACTTTGAATAAACGATTCCTTTTTTTCTCACGGAATGTACCTGATGCAGTGTGAAATATTCATCGACCGAAGCGTTGTTTATCAGTGATAGATACAGAAAGAAGAATTCTATCGCCCGAACACTGCTGGATAATCGTCTGATTGATAAATAAATTATTTACTTCATAGAAAAATCAGAATAAGTTTCACTCCAAGTCTCTTTGTGGCAACTTTGAAAGGATTCATTTGTCCGAACTATATTGAATATGTTATTGAATATTTTATATCGACATTTTTTAGATGAGAACTTATCATTTTAATATGAATTTTTATTCGGACTAGCATGCTCCTCTTGTTTGTCATATTCTCAACGTTTCAGCCATTTTATCTGAAGTTTTTCAGATTTCTTCTTCCTGTCTTCAGTTACTCTATCAACTTGTTTTTTTTAAAAAGATTAAACGAGGAAAACACGATCTAGTAGATAAAATCGTTATTTTTGTGTTTTTCAACAATAATTTCGCATTCGAACCACTAGAGATAGAGTTCCGTTAGATGTTGACCTGTCAATTTATGAAGATAGTTGAGAAACATTAACAATGGACCTTGCGGAATCAGAGACCAGAGTTCATTTTCCATTCAAGGATTTATTTTTACGTGCTAATACCCTTTAAAAAGGTATGCCGCTTTTTTTCGAAGCTATGGTAAACAGCAGGATAGCCGAGTTGTATAGCCTTGGGTTTTTGGTTTACCGTAATAAAACAACAACCTAATGCGGGAAAACATTGTTCGCCAGTCATGTTTTTTGATCACCCTCGTGTATCCTGCACGGCAAGTTAACTGGAACTGAGAATTTTTTCAGGTTAAGATTGCATTGACTTGAAATTCGATATATAATAATATATGGAAGAAGATTTGCGATTGAATGTTTACACCAATGAAATACAAATGTTGAGAATTGTTGATGTCTTTTATTAGAAAATTATGGAGGTTGTTCGTCTTTTTCCATGGAAATAGCGATTAGTGAAAGGCTCCAACGTTTCGTTTTGAAAAAGAAAAAATGCATCTTTGAATAAACGATTCTTTTTTTTTCTATCGAAAATGGAACCTGATGCAGTCTGTTGAAATATTCATCAATACATCTTTTGTTTATCAGTGATAGATACAGAAAGAAGAATTCTATTCGCCGAACATTTTTCCTGGATAATCGCGATGATTGATAAATAAATTATTTACTTCATGAGTTGAGTTTAAAAATCAGAAGGTAAGGGGCTTTGACTGAAAACCCGTTCATCTTTGATAGGCGAATATGAAAGGGTCCATTTGACGAACTATAATGAAGTTTTGTTTTATTGAATATGGCCAATTTTATATCTATTCATCTGATTTTAGATGAGAAGATTATCATTTTAATATGAATTAGAATTTCGGACTAGCATGTATCCTCATGGTTTAAAATATATCTCTCTAACGTTTCATCTCCATTACGTTATCTATCGATACCAGCTTTCCTAAAGTAGTTCGATTCCAATTAATAGTAACATAGTGTAGTGGGTTAAAGCATTAGTTAAAACATGTCCCAAGCAGTCGTGAGTTCAGTCCCTGGTTAGGTTTTCGTTTAAATTCTGGTTTAGATCGAAACGAGGAGAAATGGCAAAAGGTGACTAAAGTAGGTATTTTTGAAATGAGTTATGTTTTGTGAGTTATTTCCCCTAAGTATAGAAAGCAGAATGAAAACGGTCTACCGCGTAAATTGAATAGAGTGTTTGATTAAATAATTAGATATAGCGAATAAAAACAGTGAAGAAAGGTTGTACAACTGGCGATAACAATTTATGAAGATACAGTGGGCTGACGAGAAAGGCATACAATTCTGGTTATTTTCATGGCTTTTTCCCTAAGGTTACAATCGGCTGAGTACATTAACTCAGCACAAGAATTCCGTCGTTCCTATCTTGAACGGCAGTGTTAGTAAAACAAATTAATTTCTCGCGGTGAGCTCAATTCTAGGCGAGATAAATTGAAAGTCTTTATGCTTTCGAAGCGCATGGGATACATCTGTTCTTATCCCTTTTTATATTCAGACGAATAATAAAATCGATTATATGCAATAAACAGCAGGATAGACAATATTTTCTATAGCCTTACTCAAGCGTTGGGAAATAATGGGTGGCAATTAATCATTGTCATTTATTTATAGGCACGTGAAAGAGAAATGATTTTCACAAATGATATTGATTGGATAATGCACTGAGCATGCGTAAATTCAATATATCTAACAAAAATGGCATACCTCTCTCGCCATTTATCATGTCTCTTAAACACACACGCACACACACACACACACACACATATATATATATATATATATATATATATATATATATAAATAAAGAAAATAGTCTTAACTGTGCTATATTTATGGGATAAAGTGCTCAATATCAGAGATAGAGCGTGTTAAATATAAAGTGAATTTTTTTAGAGGCGACAGTCTGTTTCATGATATCACAATGTAGCGGTTGCTGTTATTTTTTCTCGGCTATTTATATATATACGGGTTTGGTGATTGGAATGTACATAACGGTTATTTTTACCGGAAGTCGCTTTGTTCATTTATTTCTTAAATTATATTGCTCGTTTTTATTTATTTTTTTTTTTTTATTTTATTTATTTATTTATTTATTTTTTTGTTTCTTATTTTATTTATTTATTTATTAACGTAGTAAAAATTTGTTTCGCAACGTATTTTCAGTTTTTTTGGTTTGAGAAAATTAAAATGCTATTTGTTCAATTTTGGGGTTGGTTGTTTTAAACATTCTATATATTTTTGGAAACAGTTTTTTAATTTGGGATTGGTTTGCCTATTTATTTATATGGAATCAATACATCTTTTTGGTTTTTTTTTAGGTTTGATTTATTTATTTTATTTATTTATTTATTTATTGTTTTTTTTTTTTTTTTTTATTTTTATTTATTTTTTTTATTTTCATTTTTTTTTTTTTATTATTATTGTATTTGTTTTTTATTTTATTTTTTCCGTTTTTCATTTTTTTTACGTAGTAAAAAATTTATTTTCAGCCGATTTTGAGATCTCAGATCTTTTATTTAATAATTTATTTTGGCGGGGAAAGTAATGATAGCTATTTTTTTTCCCAAGCAAAGTTTCAAGTTTTGAATTGATGACTTTTCCTTATCTTCAAGATATTTTTGGTGTGATCTGCGTTTTTTTTTTATTTCCCAGATATACTTAGAAAG